TTTTAACTGCAACCATGGAAATATTTGAATACTTGAAAAAATTTGGCTTACCTATTTCATGCCAATTATAAATGGATCTTTTAACTGGCCCTTCTTGTACACTTTCCACGTGACCACATTTTCTCCCGTGTCGTCCATTGTTTCTCACGATACCCTTATTGCTGACAGCGACTGAATTAACCAATGCGACCAGTGCACAGACCAAGATCACATTCGTGCCGATCTAGAGGCGGCAGGATATGTACTGGTCCGCCATATTTATGCTGAAGATGTAATTGGTGACGCGGACGAAGGCGACAAGGAATATGATGATTATAAAAATAATGTTAAAACGACAACGGTGATGATATAACTAACAATGAAAAATTATAATTTCTTCAATTTGTTTAATGAAAATATAAAGTTTTAAAATAGTAAATAAACAATGATTCCAATTTTACTTTTAGTTTGGTTCGCCAACGTAGACTGTGTGCCATGTACGACGAATGATCAATGTAACAATTCTACATCGTGTTCTGGAGCAAACACTCCCATCTGTGAACATCCGGACCTCACCGACGTTAACGAGAATGGTGGATTGTGCACATGCAGTGTTGGATGTATGTAATGGTTTAAACACAGATTGTAAAATAGTAAATAATGGAAAGTGAGCTCCTAAATTCCCCAATTTCCTAATTTAAATGGCTCAATTTGGTTTGTAAAAAAGACTTCAATTGGAATACCCTTAACTCTCAATACTTTAAGATTAACCTTCGTTTATGATTACTCATTCTAAATGTATGTTATGTTTATAATTGGATCTATGAATAAACGTTTTCACGATGTCTTTGAAAGTTTATGTCAAAATATTATGACATAATATTATGTCAAACATACTAGCATATTAAGCCTCATTCGCATTCGGAACATCTCGGCTCTAAAACAAAGTAACCTCGGACTTAATACGTATTTGAAAGTAATGTAGTTATACCCCGTGGTTATAGATGGAAACAAAAAAGGTGTACTCTTTGATAATGTATAACGAAAGTAAATATTTGACATAATGTCTATTATAGAAAAATTATGATTGAACGTTTGACTGACAATCATAATCAAGCGTTTCAACAACAATAGCATTAAATATATATACAAGTTTGCTTCTTTAAAAAGATGCGAGAGGTCTTTTTTGCAGTTGTGGAAGATTTGTTTAATTCGAAAATATTAGGAGATTTTTTTTGCATAAAAGGCACAATGCATGTTTATAATTCACAATGATTTAACAAAATATAATTTATAATATATATTAAGTATAGTATTATAATGAAAGTTTGTTTTACACTTTATTTTTAAATGTTTTAAAAGATTATATGCCGGAGAAATGCACATTCTTGGTGCATTAGGAATATTTTTTCTACAAAGGAAACAATTTATGTAATCACACTAAATTTAAAATAAATGAGCTATATTGAAAGTAGTATCAAAATAAAAGTTCTCGTGTAAAATTCAATTATCAAATTTTCGATTTATGTTTTTGTAAGTATATGGAACATTTCCTCTGCAACAAAGAATTTCCAAAAAGGACATAAGCATGTTAATTAGAATATGTATATAAAAAGTTAATATCATTTGATTTGATTAAACAGTAAATAAACCTGCATGCCAACAACCACAATATTTCAAGAAAATCAAACTTGAGAAAAAATTGTGCCATTTGCACCAAAATAATCTCCGTTGCATAATTTAGTCATACCTGTTCAAAAGTTAAAAGAGCAGCAAAATTTTGGTACACGGTTCGCTCGGTCATATAAAAGTGCATGGTGATATTGTAGTTATAATGTTCACTGATTCATTTTTTCGTAACATGAAATAGTAAAACGCTTTTCATAAAACAATAATCGATTTATACAGTTTAAAGGATTAAAACGGAACGGACCATTCCTCGCAGTGTTTAGTAACGTAAATGATATTTTCCGATTTTTCTTTGTACCGATTTGTTCTCTTCGATGATAATTTTTCGTTAAAATTTAGTCGTATTTTGTAACAATTTGTTTAGGCTGGCTTTAATGTTTTAAGTCTTAAAATGCAATGTATTAGCTTTAATTTGATATGCGAAAATGAATGCCGCCAACAATCATTCTGAACACTGTGGATAGTTCCGATGACCTCTCGAATAATGCACTGTTTACTACGAAAGACCGTTGGGAACATATCAACTTCATGAATTCCCGACTTCATCTTCCTGAATCCATACGGAATTTGCGAATTCACGATTTCAGCTTCATGAATTCACTATTTCAACTTCAAAGAATTCATTATTTCAACTAAGTGAAATCACGATTTCAACTATTTCAACTTCAAGAATTAAACCTCAAGAATGGATGATTTCAACATCACAAATTCACGATTTTAACTTCATGAATTCGTGAAGTTGAAATCGTGAATTCATTGAAGTTGAGTTCATGAAACTGAAAAAGTGAATTCGTGAAGTGGTAATAGTGAATTCGTGAATTTGAAATCGTGAATTCATGAAGATAAAATCAGGAATTCGTGAAGTTGAAATGTCCCTACCGGTCTTTCGTAGTTTACTGTCATATCTGTAAATTTACTAAACTTAGGTGGACTTTTAATCGCTAGATTGGTATTAATTTTGTCTTCAACTCCTATAATTAATTACTATTTGTTTACATGTGTTCGAGGTTCTTAATTAAGGGCCGAGATGATGCCATTGTGTCATTTGTTGTTAAAAGGCGAGTTTCATTGACAGATTAAGAACAGAAGACAATACTTTTTTTCATTTCCCGAATTTCTTAACATGAACACACACGACACTTCATCAAAAATGGCGATCTGACCGAAGTTACCAACTTATTAAGTAAATAAAAGATAAATACTTGGTCGCTTCACGGTTTTTCTGTAACAGAGTGTATTCACTTTCTTGGCTTCTCTGATCTTAGTATTAAATAAACAAAAACCTAAATCCGAATGTTTCCAGGCTATATTTTTTACACAAGTATGTTGATACCTAAATGTATTTCATTATTTATAGTGAACGAATCGTGTTTGTGTTTTACAGTGTGTTACTATGTTGCTGATTGTCAAGTACCGGAAGTAGATCTTGAATGCCCGTATGACGACCGCCATTGTTATGACAACAAATGTATCTGCTCTCGATTTCCAGTGTTTCCCGGAAGAAAATAACATGTTCTTCTAATGTTTGTACATTAACATTCAATACAATTATTCACTCGAAATAATTTTGAAAAGGATACACAATATTCTTTGTTTGTTAATTTATTTATTCAGTAAAACAATTAAGGTTGAATTTCTTCCATATCCCTTGCTTTATTTTTCATTCTTTTCCATGATTATTGATGGAAAATTATTTTCCTTATTCCAAATGTTACAAAATAAACAGGCTTCACCTTTTTTGCATGACGGCTTATCGTAAAATTGAATATTCGATTATGAAAATGAAGACGATAAATAACAATGAAACTTTTACCAGTGCATTGTCTTGGGCACGTGTTACAATGGTAATGCAAAAGCAGAACAAACGAGCGACTACCTATATAATATAATTAATTCATTTACTAAAAAACGAAAGGAAACTTAAAATTCAAGGTGACCATTTTATCTATGAACAATCCTCGTACATGTTATGCACTGTATTTAAATAGACTGGCAATATCTTGCAGTTGTAGAGAGAATGCCAGCCCGCATAGCTCAATAGGTGAGAGCGCGAGACTTGTAATCTCAACATTGTGGGTTCGCAACAAAAATTACGAATCAGTCTTTCGGATGAGACTTTAAATCGAGGTCCGGTGCATGGTGCTTAAACACTTGGCACGCTAAGCTTCTGGAATTGGGGCATCTTTCTGTGTCTGCCAACAAATCCAAACTGATTAACATCTTTCTGGAGGACTTGCCCATATGGGCAACCGGTGGCGAGTATAAATAAACTCAAATACACACACACACGCAGTTGTAGGGCTTGAAAACCCATCATTGAACTTATGTATACATGTACCGTCAAATTCACAGGTGTTCGAGGTGTTGATTGGTCACTACTTAAAGGGACTCCACTGAGGTTCAAAAGTCCAAAACATAACATTTGAATTTCTTACATAAATGAGCTGGGTCACCTTAAACAGAAAAATATGCCAATATAGTTAAGAAATATACTTTGAAATAAATTGAAAATCGTATGTTTATGCTTTTCTTATCCCAATTTGAGTAAAAAGCGTTTAAACGCTTTTCATTTTGGGTCATTTTCTTACAATTTGAATAATTGTTCCGGAAAAACGAAGTGCGCGAATGATCTGAAATTTTGCACTAAGATTAGTGGTCAAAACCTTCATCAAATGGTACATTTATCTGGAAAAAATATTTTCAGTCCCATCATGTAAAAAACCCCAAATTGGAGTCCCTTTAAAACAAGTTAAAAATTATATATATATATATATATATATATATATATATATATATATATATATATATATATATATATATATATATATATATATATATATATATATATATATATATATATTACTGAACAATAGCCTATAATACTTTCAATAGTGGCAACCATGGATGATATTACTAACAGGTGTTATTGTTTTTTCTTTCTTTTTCTTTCTTTTTTTTTTTTTTTTGGATCTTTTTTGTTGTTGTTTTTGCCTCATGTGCCCCTCCATGCATTATGTCAAACACGAACGGGCACCTGAGAACAACCAACGACGTTTTATAGTAAATGCTAGAACAGAATGCCCTGACAAAAAACAACAACAACAAAAACACACTTTCAAATTTCAATTTTAAAACTCCATTACATCACGGCTACAAGATTCAAAAGATACTTACTTTGCCGCTGATAATATTTCGTTCCTTCCAATGTCGGGGCTAAATATTTGTCTGAGAATTGCATTGTACATCCAAAACATTTGTTGTCGGCCAGGACGAACACACCGTAACAGGAGGAAGTATTAGAACATTTCGCAGCACACAGCGCAATCCCTCCGTCGGCATAGCTAAACAAGGTTTTATCTGCGGGACAATTTAGCCCACCAAAATCCGATAGCTCAATATATTTGTTGAATTTATTGTCCACCAAGGCAGAATTAATATTTTCAGCTAAAAAATAAAAAAAGAACTGAAACAATAGAACCGCGCTGGTAGACATTTTTTTCTGTTATGCGACAATTTTTTTTCCAGCACTAATGACTGTTTTACGCATGCGCGCTTATTAATTAAACATTTTTCAAATATTATATATCTCTGAGTAGGGTGCACACATATTGATTCTTAAAACGTCGTATTTCGTTTTCAAGTGTACTTTGTAATATTCATTTGATATTTAAGATATATTTACGTGCCAAAGCTATATACTTAGAAATTTTGTTTTGGTTCTAGAGGGGAGATATTGCACATACAAAACAGCACACTATCTCATCGTTAAGTAAAATAAGTTGGCCTTGTGTCCTTAAGACATAGAATTGATGATGTTGATAATAATAATAATTACTATTTTTATAAGTAAATTTACTTGCAGTCAAGTTAAGTATAGTGTTTATTAGTAATCATTTACAAAATGAAATGTATTTTTTATAAACCGATATACTAGACTGATTGATAGTTTGCTGATTTATTAATGTAAATATATCACGATTCATTAGAAAATTTGAAATTACATTAATCAATATGGAATAAGAACCTTGACGAGAACTCGTGATGCTTGCTTGCCCTAGCAATAATCAGTTGAAAATCATATCAGCCGTGCCATGACAAAACCAACATAGTGCGTTTGCGACCAGCATTGATCCAGACCAGCCTGCGCATCCGCGCATGCAGGCTGATCAGAATCCATGCTGTTCGCTTACAAACCCTATTACAAGTAGAGAAACTGATAGCGAACAGCATGGATCCTGATCAGACTGCGCGGGCTGGTCTGGATCCATGCTGGTCGCAAACCCACTATGTTGGTTTTGTCATGACACGGCTCATATTTGTCAACATAATTACATGTAGATCTAACAGTTTTAAAGACACATTATGCCTCAGAATCGAATTAACTTTTACTACTTAAAAAGGGCAAAAACAAGTACCGGTATTATAACGTTAAGATAATGCTTTTAGAGGATGTCAGATGTTTGTTACCTGAAAAAGAAGCGCTTTATTTTGAAAATATTTGTCACGAAAGTAGCAAAATGTAAAAAAAAAGCATTTTGACTTCCAAACAAAATATTAAATCACTATAACTGTACTAATTGCGAAAATTCATCAGCGGAAACAGATGGTTAAGATAATTGGCGAATAAATAATTTGTGGAAACTATAGCAGTAGATTAAATATTAAAAGCTTTGAGAAATACGTGAATATAAAAGCATGTCTCAGACATAATGAGCCTTTAAAGTCATGCTTTGCCAATTTCAATGTTCTGAATAATTTTTAAAAAAAAAATTGTTTGGAAACAAGATATTTAAAATTCATAATAAATTCATGACGTTAAAACATATCGTTTCACAGATGAAAGTTCCTTTGAATCAATGACATGTCGTTTCGCATTGTTAATAATGACAGAGAGACAGAATCAATACAAAACTTTTTGCTATCTATTAAATTACCTATTATCCAACTGGTTTATTTTCAGTATCTCTTTATCCTACGGCCCCATTTATCAAATGATTGTTATTAAAAATGGACGTTTTGTTTTAAAACTTGATAAAACGTCAATAGCAACGATCAGCTCCAGTAATACATGATACCATTATAAACACTACGGTATACCGTACCCCGGATATTGCTCGATATTACGAGGACTTTCATCCCATTTCGCGACTTTGAACGGGGAACGAAGGTAAGTTCAGCGACGATATTTTCCAAATTAATGGCTATTTCATTTATCTCAACGGGTTTTATATATCTAGAGGTATTTTTGTAGCTCTTAAAGACGTAAAAGTATTACAGGTGTCTGTAAAATTGATTAAACTACCCCTAACCGATCCGCTGCTCACTGGAAAATACTGACCGCGATAAGTGTAAAATTGTTAGAAATTATTATATTACCAGTATAAAAAAATTGAATCGAGCATTTTTTTTTATTCACAATCCAAGTATGCTTTGTCAAATTTCAGGCAAAAAGTGTGAAAGTACAAAAAGATACATGCCAAAAAAGATACAAGAAAGTGTACCGAGTATTGATTTTAAGTGTACAGAGTATTGCAAAATAGCCCAACTTTAGTGTACAGAGTATTGCAAAACAGAATTAGCACATTAGTATGGAAAATCGATTTTTTTGTCTAATTTTCACGACTGTTTATCGATTCCATTTCATTTTGCTGATAATGTACTGTTTATATGATATTTATTCAAATATCCAGATTCAACAATGCATTTTCAGTGAATACAGAGATTTAATTTTCCCATTTGATTGAAAATCACACTATGGATGAAATAAAATGTGAGCAGGGTCGGGAGCAGGGTAGAACCATCAAAATTGACGATAAAAATCTTTAAATACATGTCTCAAGTAACTGTGATCAAAGAGACCCATCTCTGAAAAGAAGGAGAAGAAAAACATATTTAGATGACATTTATAATAGATTTTTACAGGGCAAGTTAACCTTTTACTGCATGAGCATATTGCGAAAAAGAAAGCCTGTTTTAATTGATTTAAGCCTATTGTTACAAGTTCAAACTGCTATGAAACTATAAAAAAAGTTTCAATACTTATCAAACTGGGCAAACATGTTGGCTGGACCATAGCCTGTGGAATAGCATGCTCAATTTTAAATTTCCGGTTACCATGGCAACGGGGGACGTCTCAAAATTGTCCAAAAATCTCTATTTTGCGTTGTTTTTCCCAATCAAAACTGATTTCAAGGTGCAGCAACTTCTCAATTGATTGAGATAAAGTCTAAGATTTTCGGCGTTGATTACACGGTACGTTTAAATCGACCTGAGGCCATTTTAGCCCCCCCCCCCCACACAAGTCCGAAATCTTTTCGGCGATTTTCGGCTACTGCCCCACTTCAAACCCCCAAACAGAAGGGGGCATCCCCCCTGTGACACCCCCTTGATGTACCTTTTTAATGGGGGGGGGGGGGTGCCGAAAAAGTGATCACTCTTTTGAACAACATTTCTCAAACTCAAAATTTCTAGATAGCGCACGTTTTAAACTATTTGAGGCCTCAAAAGGGGTTGGTTGTAAAGCCTTCAAGGCACGCCTTTATGACGTAAAAAGGTTATAAGGAACATAAACCTTTTATTGCATCTG